GCAAATCTTTCCAAACTGTAAATGTCTCCAAGGCCATATGTGGGCTTTTCTTAAAGGTCACTCAACAGGCCCCAAGGAAAAGAAGGGCTTGGTCTAAAAAGTTTTATATTTCCTCTCACTTTTTTAAACATTGGAAAATCCATTTGGCTCAGAGAAATGAATAGTCAAAGGAGTTCTAACTACTTAGAGCCAACAAAATGTAATGGAAAAAAGTCAAGAATACGGCTGGACGTTATTTTCTTTTTGCCCAGCACATCCTGTCTTTAATCTGAAAGGTAAATAGGCCATGCCCAACATACCGACTCTTTTCAGGTGAAATTATCTAGGTTATAAAAACAAGCAACAACTGTGTCTCCATTATGCTTTAATTCGTGGCTGACAGAAATAGCTTCCAGAATAAATCAGAGAGGCAAAAATTGCTCACAGGGGAGCAAACCCACAAATTTTCCCTCCTTTGATAATGGACTTTTGTGAATTTTTTTTCTTCCACTTGAATTATAACTGTGTGGTATCATTATCTGGAGGAGTATGTTGCAAATGCCAGAAAAGGAAATTTTGAATTTTCATGTTTGAGTTATTTAAATCCACAGGAGAGAGAAAGAGAGAGTTTTTGCATATCATTAGTTAGTAGACGAACATCCCTGGGATATTTAACCTTCAAGTACAAGAGCAAGTAATTTTGCAACACCTCGCTCCATAACCCCACAATATCAACTTCTTGACTCCACAATGCACGTAATGGTCTGTGAGTTCAGCCATGCTAATGAGAGCTAGGCCCATCTCTGTCCTATATATTTAGCTTCCTTGCTCCTTGCTTTATGCCACACTTTCTTCTGTATACTACAGCTGAGCAAAGAGTCTAACAGAAACTGTCATCAGAAATAGAACACGTTAAGTTTCCTTCAACAAGAAACGAGCTATACTCATGGATTATTTGAAGCAAAGTCCATCACATTCCTTTCTCTGGATGTCATTTAAATCAAGAATTACCTACAGGGAATAATTTGAAGCAGTGTTCTCCAGAGCCGGAGTTGTGGGGAAGTTAATGGGTAGTCCCCTAAAAAGGTGGGGTAGTCAAATGGAAATGCTTCCTCAGGAGAAGTTAAACATGGTCCCCTTGCTTTTCTTTTAACCACAAGATTTCACAGAGCCTCTAGAATGCATTATGATCCTTCCGAGAAAGGAATGGAGAACATACCAGTTTCTGAGCTAATTGGACCATGGGACAGTTTAGTCAAGGATCACCTCTGTTTCACAGCACTAGAGGTCCACAGAACGCACGTGGGTTGGGGGCACCTATCGGAAGGCCCGATCTCCCTAAAGATAGGGAATGACCTGGCTCACATCCAATGGTCAGGTCAGACACCCCACATCTATCCACACTGCTCTCCCAGAGCACACTGATCTTGGGAACAGAGAGAATTTAAGCTCACAGCAACGTGGTCAGGGATACTTCTTAGGGAAAACAAGAATGTCCTTATACATTCTTAAGGACAGAATGTATAAAAAGCTTTATTAAATTATGAAAGTATACCAGTACCACATCCAGCAGGGGGACCATTCCATTTGACCCCTCTCATAATGAGGAAGGGAGGGAGAAGGATCTTAGCAACACCATCTCAAAGACACGGTATGCGCGAGAAGTCTTTCCCAGCCAATACTTAGAAGATGTCATGCAATCATATTTAAAGTCAGAAATTAGTAGTATATGGCTGATTCAAATGTGTCACATATTTCTCTGCCGCCTTGAAAACGCAAAACACATCTGATACCTTTACTATTAACATTGAATATCTATACTGGAGTGCAAATTAAAATGTGCGGGATTGGACACATTTTTTAATAGTTTTTTAAAAGTTCCAGCATCAGAGAGATATAAAAACTACCAAGCCATTTGAATTTCTGGTTTGGAGTACTCCCCAACAATGAGGAAGTCTGATCATAGATGACAGAATACTCTCATTGTCCTAACTCCTACCCTCAAATTGCCAAAGGGGAACCGAGAAGCCGTTGTGTTGTTTTTAACTGGGAACTGAGATCTCGTGCACCAATCCTTGTGACAGCGTGCACTCCTTGTCAATATGAGGTACCACCTCTGCCTGTGGACCCTCTACCCAGCGCTGACAAGCACAAACTTGAATCCTGAACTATTAGGTCTCATGGCAAAACCTGAACTCCGTATCCTGCTTTTCAAACATCAGTAACTCCCAGACAAAAATTTCCCTCCTGCCTTTAACCAAACGCTGCTTCTGACTCCTTTGTTTCAAAGATTAGCAAGGGTCCAAAAATTATGTGAGAAGGTCAGAAAGAATCCTTTCAGAAGCACAGCATTCAGCAGCAAAGCAAGACCAAAGGAAACTGAAGCCACCCCTCAACAAGGTCACTTCCTTAAGCAACACACACTGATAACATGAGGAAGGACCAAGCACAGACGTCACTGAGCGAGGCGTCCTCTTCACAGCCTGCTACACCTGCAACAGCCCCCACCTGCACTCCACCCTCCTGGCCCTGCTCTGTCTTTTCTCTAAGCCCTGTTGCCCAATCCTCTGTAACTCACCCAATTATGTTTATTGTTTATTATGCAACTGCCTTTGATAGAATATAAGCCCCTAAAAGCGAGGACCTCTGCTGGCTTTGTTTCTCAAACTGATAAATCCCAGTGACTGGCACAGATCCTGGGACACTCGTCATCTTTGGATCCCAGAGTTCAAAACTTAAGGAAAGGATTATAGTCACTTTCCTTTTTTATTTATTTTTCATTTTCATTGGGGAGAGGGGGAGAGGGGGGAGGGGGAGAATCCTAAGCAGGCTCCAGGCTCAGCACAGAGCCTGACATGGGGCTGGATCCCACCACCCTGGGATAATGACCGGAGCCAAAATCAAGAGTCAGACATTCAACCGACTGAGCCACCTGGGCATCCCTAGTCACTTTCCTTTTTACCCAAAAATCATTCCAAGGCTTCTCCCTACCCTAATCCTCAATCAAAAAAAGTTTTTTAATCAATATAAATGGGCTTGAGAACATGACATTTTGATGAAATTAACAAGAAAGCGCAAAATTTATTTCACCTTAAATTGTTAATCTATTTTTTAAAAAAGTATGCTTAGTAAATACACCGCTTTATAAATGACTCTACATCCTTAATGATTCCTCTGTCCTTGCTTCCCTTGATTTAAGCACTGGTCACTATACCTGAACTATTCAATTTCCTTCTCTAGTCAGGGCATGAAACCTAGATTTGTCTGGTGATTATTACACTTTTTGTCTAATAAATAATAACAGTCTGCCCAGATGAGGCCCTACCAAAGCACAGATAAAAGGTAAATATTATAACTTGGACATCAGGCCTCTGCCATGCTGAGATGCCAGTCTGCATCCCGCATGACTCTTAATTCATCCTCGGTTTAAGAGAGTAGTTGACTCATGGGGCGCCTGGGTGGCTCAGTCAGATGAGCTTCCGACTTCGGCTCAGGTCATGATCCCGTGGTCCGTGAGTTTGAGCCCCGCATCAGGCTCTGTGCTGACAGCTCAGAGCCTGGAACCTGCTTTGGATTCTGTGTCTCCTTCTCTCTCTGCCCCTCCCCTGTTCATGCTCTGTCTCTCTCTGTCTCAAAAATAAATAAACATGGGGGCGCCTGGGTGGCGCAGTCGGTTAAGCGTCCGTCCGACTTCAGCCAGGTCACGATCTCGCGGTCCGTGAGTTCGAGCCCCGCGTCGGGCTCTGGGCTGATGGCTCAGAGCCTGGAGCCTGTTTCCGATTCTGTGTCTCCCTCTCTCTCTGCCCCTCCCCCGTTCATGCTCTGTCTCTCTCTGTCCCAAAAATAAATAAAACGTTGAAAAAAAAAATTAAAAAAAATAATAATAAAAAATAAACATGAAAAAAAAAATTTTTTAAGAGTAGTTGATTCAAATACATACAGGAGACAGGAAGGTAATATAAACAGAGGAAAGATCGTCTCTTTGGGGCCTACAAATACAGGTCTGGATGGAGTAGCTAGATCTTCCCACTTTTTCATTTTTTCCATGAAATTTCCCAACTGGGGATCCAAATAAAAATGTGTTGAGCCCAGACGTGACCCATGAGCGTCAATTTGCAACTCTTGTTTAAAGCCTCAGTTCAGAGATCACTGCCACCAGGATGCCCCCTCCCATCCCCAAGCAGGTGAGACAGTCTGCTGGTATACTACATCTAGCTACCCTTGACCTTGCCAAACTTGGACAGTTCCTTCAATGAGTCCATCTTCCCTATGGGACAACATCCAGCAAAGTGCCTGGCACACGGTAGGAGCTCAAAAGATATTTGAATAAATGAAAATCTGAATAGGACCACTGGGTTCACACTTGCAGTAGCCACCTTGAATTCAACAGTCTGTTTCCTATCTTCACACCTTAATCAACCAGACTCCGGGGAAATGCGCCATCAAGGTCATGACCATTGATACCAAATGTCACACTAAAAGAGGAAGGCCCACTCCTGGAGATCTATCTACATACTCTCTTTATTATGAGGAATAAGTACCATTCAGCATATTGTGAAGACAGAAAAAAAAAAGGGGGGGGAGATAAGCAAAGTAAAAGAGTTATGTATCATGTGCTTTGTAAGAGACGAGAGAGTATATGAAAGATAATTCAGTTAACAGCCACCTGGTCTATTATCCAACACTGGATGAGCTCCTTACAGATGGGAGTTAACTAAAATGTGTGAAAAATATTTCTATTTTGTTTCTTACCTAGCACTTTAAGAACAGATCCTGCTAATTCAACCAGTAATTAAAGATCACGTATACATTATGCTTTGCCTAAAAAACAGTAAATACGGGATTTACCATTCCAGACACTATTTGGAAACAGACCCAAACATGGAATTGCTCTCCAAAACAGAAGGCTGTTGTAGCAAACCCTGGTTTCTGAGAAAGCCACCGAAATCTATCCTGTGCTTTGACAGTTCTCCCCGTTGTATTTTCTCACGCTCGTGATGAAAGCTTCAAGGAGAACTTACATCTGTGCAGAAGAGGCACTGGCATTCCTGGAGTGTGGTCATCTTGTCCAGGGACTGTTCACAGAGGCAGAGTTTGCAAGTGACGAGGGGGGACGGAGCCAGGTCTCCCGGCGTCGGATTTTCGGTGGTCATGGTGAGACAGTGGAACCTACCAGCTGAGCCCATCAGCCCATCAGCCTTCTTCAGTCTCCTCAACCCCTACAGGAAGGTCCAAAGCAGAAAATATTGCATTCATTAATACAGCTGTTGTTTAACCAACACATTTGGGCACCAACAGAGCAAACCTTCACTTTCCGGGATATCTAGGCATACATCAAAGGCATTTCTGAGAGCCATGGCCTATAGAGCTTGCCACCTTGGCAAGGTGCTCCCGGAGAAATTGAAGGTGACCTCACCATACTGACTCATATAATGTAAATTATGGGAACGAAAAGACCACAAGGAATAAACACGCCATTTAGGAGTTGCATACTATAATCCAACAGGTTTAAAAAAAACAACAACTTGAAAATAGGATGCCCCACTCAAAAAATTACACAAAGAATTACCATGAGATCCAACAATTCTGCTTCTCAGCATACACCCAAAAGAATTGAAACCAGGATGGAAACCGATCCTTGGCACACCAATGCTCACAGCACCATTATTCACAATTAGCCAAAAAGTGGAAACACTCTAAATGCCCATCAAGAGATGAAGGGATAAACAAAATGTGATATGAACATTCAATGGAATATTATTCACCTTTAAAAGGGAATAGGAGGATGAACCTTAAAGTCATTATGCTCAGTGAAATAAGCCAGACACGAAAGGGCAAACATCGTATGATTCCATCAATAGGAGGTATTTAGAGCCATCATATGCGGAGAGACAGAGAGTAGAAAGGTGGGGTTGGGAGAGGGGGAAATACAGAGTTACCATTTAATGGGTACAAAGTTTCTGTTGGGAATGATGGCAAAGTTCTGGAAATGGAGAACGTGATAGTTACACAACACTGTGGGTGTACTTCATGCCACCGAATTACACACTTACAACAACTGAAATGGTACACTTTACGTTCTATAGGTTTCATACCAATCAACTTTCTTGAAGGGGGGGATCAGTGCTAATTGTGTTCTGTCACATATGTCCTTGCATTTACTCTTTTGCAACCATGATGATTATTTCCTTCATCTTATAGAGATGCTAAGCAATCATAACTTCTTCTGAAGAGGAGTTAAATAATCTGCCTGGGTTCTCAGAGCTTGTATAGAGCAGAGCAAAATTCGAACCTCCATCTTCTGAGACCAAGCCCAGTCCTGGCCCCTTACACCAGAGACTGGATATTATGTGGAAGGATGGAACGGGGAGAGAAAGAAGTTAGAAGGGGTAGGGAGAGAGGAAACCCAAGACAAAGAGATAAAGAGACAAACAGCCCATGACTACAACTATCGAAGGTCACCGAAACTGTGCAGAGTAAAATCTGTCTCTAAATATGGCGAGACAATAGGATTTTCCTACACTGAAAAATAAAAATTATAACTGAAACCCTTCTACTTGTTTTTATTCAGATTACCTTTAGAAGAGGTAAAATAATTGTGAAAGTAATCTTCTATAGTTTATAGCACATCAAGAAATTTCATGTTCTAATTAAAGAGAAGGAAAATCCTAAAGTTCTTACCATTTCAAGAGAGTATGGCCAATCCTAATAAATTCTGCCACAGAAATAAATGTAAATACGCTCTCCCCCTACAAGAACCAGACTCTTCTCATCCCCATTTTGGAGCAAAAGAAATTACATGTTTGGCATTTGTTATGTAGCCCCACAGTGGCTTATGTCTCAACATACAGGTACAAAAGTATGACAAGGGAGAAAAAAACAAATTGTATTGGATGGAAAGAAAAAAGATCTAGGAGATCTAACTGCACTAACTTTCTTAATGTCATACTAGAAAGAATCAACAGTTATTATAAACTCTAGTAACCTGAAATATTCAAGGCTTTTTACCTACTCCCTCAGTAGTAGACTTGATTAAAAATAAATTTAAATAGGAAGCTAACCAATGATTGGCTTCCATGATAGTATTTCTTGGGAAAGGCCGTATATGGCTTAAGATGTGGTGTTCTTATTTACCTATTAATGAGCTATTACCCAAGAGCAAATCAACCTACGTATAAAATTCAGGATTTTGAAGTTAAAGGAAAAAAGTCTCTCTTTAGGGTCAATTAGTGATCTTACCTCTCTCCTCTTTCCAGGTGATGCTTAGACAACCATCACCTGTTTGTTTCTCCAAGTAACACACACATCACCAATTTCATCCAAGTGCTGTCTTCACATTTCTATCTTCCCAACATGGTGTATACACCATATTCTGATGATCTTTGCCCACAAAAAGAGAAATCCCTAGTCAAACATCAAGAAGAAATGCAGCCAGTACACTTAGCCTGATGAGCACTGAGTAACATATAGAACTGTTGAATGACTTCAGTGTAGCCCTGAAACTAATATAACACTGTACGTTAATTACACTGGAAATAAAATGTTAAAACTTAATAAAGTTTTTTTTAAAGGAAGGAGGAGGAGGGGTGAGAGGAGGTGGAGAAGGCCACAGCAAAGAAGAAGAAATGTAGCCAGTAAATGCTTCTGGAGGGAAGAGGGGACTGACACAGACCAGAACCTCCCCATGTCACAAATGTCAATTACGGGAAGAGCCCATTTGGAGGAAGCTGTTAGGAACAGGTAAGTCCTGCTGTTCCAACACAGCAGGAGATGTAGGAATTCTTCAGCAAAGTCAATTATTTCTTAGTCTCAAACCACATTTTTTTTTTAATTTT